TAATCTAATTGAGTGTCATATACTTCATTTGAAAAATAAAGTCGTTAAATGAGAATTATATTATTTACTACTAATACCTAAGGTGATTTTTAAAATTTAATAAATCATTACCAAATATTAGATTTTTGATCATTTCATTATTTGCTATTATTAAAAAAAAAAAAAGAATTCTGGTAATTCAAATGTAAGGGCAAGTTGGTCTCACCCCTGACAGACAGTTCTTGATGAGCTACCTATTAATTATGTTTCCCTTGTGGAGGGTGGAATGTGGTGGGGACATACAAAAGTCACCCAGCCACCAACACAGATCGTTAAGACCAAATGTTACTGTGATTAAACAAAATGTTTATTTAATCAACCAATAGACCCCTGAAGCCCAATAAAAAAATATTTAAAATAAAGATACTCAGTATCTTGGAGAGAAACAATATATATAAGTACAGACGATTACTCTCCAGAAGCATAAGACATATCTACTCCAATGCTTCAATTCTGATAAGGAAAACAGTGCTTTCTTTTGTAAATGAATTAGGCTGTAAATGTATATTGTCACATTTTCTAAATGTTATGTAAACTTACATTTATGGTAGAAATAAAATTTGTAGGGTTCTACGTTACTCACAAAATCAGAGATAGTAGTTGTTAAAGATATTTCTTATAGTAAAAGTTCAATACCATGTTAGCTTTACTTTCAAAACATGATACTTATATATTTTCCTCTACTAATGGATCGTAATGTTATCTAAATTACTTAGAAATAAGAAATCAATGTGCTTGACTAAATTATACAAATGTACTAAATAAATTATAGCACAAAAACATAATATGGTATTAGTTATGATGCATAGCAACTACGCTAAAAGGAAAAATCAATTTTGACATTAGAATATTATAAACCAGTTTTATTACTATAGTCTAAATCTACATTTCCAGTTTCTTTAACATAGTAAATAGAATTCTCAGAAAAATAGTATCTAGTATTTCTAGTATTTAAAAACTTACTTGATTTTAGCAATGCAGCAAGAGTGTCTAAAGCAACCCTGTCAACACAACAAGAAAACACAAACAACAACAAAACTAGTAAAATTAATCTACAATAGTAAATTCATACAATCTTTTTCAATAAGTCATTATTCTATTATCTATTCCAAAGTTTATTCTTTTTTAAGTTAATTATACATGGTATTTCTCTGTATGCATCTCTCTCTTCAGCTTAAAATTGGACATGAAAAAGATTGAAATATCAATAGATGGGAACAAAAAAATGTTTTGAGAAAGAAAAAGAAGGAAATTAACAATGTCTAAGTTTTTGCCAGAAGTTAGATGAACGGAATTATTCATCAGCCTTTGTATCTGACCTGAGAGTTAACAAAGGAACCACGCTATTAAAAATCATACGCCGTGACTTGCAAAGGAATTAAAAACAAATCTTAACACGAGTTTATAACAGCAAAATTCTATAGATATTGTAACTTTCTGACTTGAAAGTTATTTCCGTTCTATCGAGGTATATATCCTCCTATTTAAGGCCATAACAAAGGAAAAATATTTTGGAACTTGAAGGTTGGGGAGAAGTATGAGCCCTTACCATTTTTCAGCTATGACGCACCAAGATGAATAAGAAGCCTAAGTAATATCTCAAAAACTCTTACTGTCCCTTACAGGACAAAGCAATCACCCCCAAAATCGAAAGTATTTAAATTGTATTTGAACATAAATAGTCACACACAGTGAAATCAACTGCCATTAATCAGCTGTAAAAATACACATAATATCACCATGGAAAACCTGTAATTCAAATCGCTTATTTTTAATCAGTTACTGAAGAAATGGCACTTAATTTCAATAATTTTTAAAATGTAAGGCACATATTATGGTACCTCTTGGTAATACAGCAACAATTACAATTAATTTGCATTAAAATTGTGTATATTATGAAACAATCATTTCACTCACCATTAAGCATTTGTTGAATGCCTACTTGATAACCACAGTAGCAAGTTCTTCAGGGTTATAAAATTAGAAAACAAACTTATCTCTTCCACAGATAATTTTACAATCTACATAATGTAATAAAAGAGCACACCTATGAAAAAACTGCTCAAGAAATTAAAAACAAAAAGGAAGTAATAAAGTAAAAGTTGCATACATCAGCAGTAAAAGGGAAGTAGCATGACTAGGTGTAAGTAAAGGTAAAGAGCATAACAGATTACAAGACTTAAGATGGGTAGGTAAAGTTCATAGCAAAATTTGAAACAATAATCCAGGACTAGGCACACGGTAAGTGGTTAACAAATGCCCAGTAAGAGGAAGTTCTTAATGGCTACACTTTCATTTACTGACAAAAAAAAAGCAACCATGTAAATCTTTATAATAATGTTTGTAAAATAATAAATAAATTCATACCTGTAACTTCCTCAAAACAATGTGAAGTGTTGGTGAGTTAAAAGTAAACATTATAAAATTTTGTATTACATTTTCATTGCATTGAATTATCAGTAAGAAACTTTCCATACTTTTACACTTATGCAATAAAATGTACAGGAGAATATAAAACTATGAGAACAAGGATGGCTTTTAAATTGTTCAAAATTAAACACAAAACTAAATGAATGTTCCATATGAGACTGCGATTTATAAAAACTAAAATGGAAAGGAAAACTACTTCAGCAAGACCTGACAAATGCCAGACACTGTTACAGGTGCTTTATATATGTTTTCTAGTTTCCTTCTTAAAACAATTTTGTTCCACAGAACTGAAATATAACAGGCCTAGGGCCACATAAAATCTCAATGCAACAGAAAATGAAGAATGTAGTTCTCTTGTTAAGAAAGGAAATTATGAAATCAGAAATGTCAGTCTCCCTTTGAGAAGGCTATCTGAACTTTCACTTCCAGACAAGATGGAGTAACAGAAACCGGATGTACCCTCTCATTTGATGTAAATTTTTTTTATGGACAAAATGGAATGGCTGTTTAAGATACTGGATATCAAGCAATGAAAGAGAGAGATCCACAGAAATGGCAAAAATGAGATGGGCCCTACAACTGCCCCAGCTTACTACACCTTGAGAAAGAGACCAACCCACAGCACAGGGAGATGGAACCTAGGTAGAGTCTGGCAGATCCCAAAAGTTGAGGAGATGAACTCCCTGACTGAGGACACAGAGGGTCCAGGGAGGTCAAGTCAATTAGAGTTCACAGGGCAGAATACCAGAAAATGAGAGCTGTACAAAAAGAATGCTCAGGGATTTTCAGCGAGTTGTGTTGGAATATTCAGCAAAGTAGTGATCAGCACATGTGTGTGAAGTAACTACTAAGGATGGGGAAAAGCCATCCAAAAGGACTGGAGAACCACATTCAGTATTCACACAGGGCTGAGAACTGTGCCTGTTCCCACCAATCGCACTGGAAATCCTCGTAATTCATTGGG